ATGATGAACACCTAGAGCTACAGGGTTGGACTGAAGCCTCTGGCTGGACTCTGTTGTGGAATCGTTCGAACAGACACCTGGGATGGACACATCCCATAGTCTGGGTACCAAGGTTTACAAGAGCCTTTCGTTTCGTTGGGCACTTTGGTCGAAGCGTCGTTGGGTTCGATTCCTTTTCCATAGTGTCAGCCATCAATGACACTGATGCCCTGAGTTGTGACTTTGAGAAAGACTTTTGTGATTGGTCAATGGGAGGAGACTTTGCATGGACTGGCCCTTCTGAAGGCTATGCCCACGTCGACACTTCTGATCATGCAGCAGCCCCAGGTGTAGTGGGAATGCGCAAAGAGTTTGTCCTGGTGAGTCCCATGTTCCCTGAAAGACCTTCCACGCAGAGCTGGAGATACCTGAGCTTTGCGTATGAGATGTCAAGCGGCAACGTGTTCAGTCTCGAACTTCAAAGCTGGTCATCCTCTTTGTCCTTTTGGCTTACAATCTGGGGCCTCAAGGGTCAACAAGGTGTAGGATGGCACAATGCAAAGGTGCGGATTCCAGAAAATGCTGGGTGCTTGCGCTTTGTTGGCGTGACAGATGGAAACGAGTGGGGTGGCGGCTTCGGCGCTATTCTTATGTCGATTTCTAATCTCTTCTCTTTCGAGGTGCCTGCAAGAGAGTTTGCAACCATCTCAGTAGGCTCTGCTCATGCTTGCCTGCTGTATCATGATAGCGGGGAGTTGCGCTGCTTTGGTTATAACGATATGGGACAGCTTGGACAAGGGCACAGGTCAAGTATAGGCAATGAGCCAGGAGAAATCGCCAGCCTTCTACCAGTTGATTTGGGTGAGAACATGTCGGCCAAGCAGATTACAGCTGGTGGATACCACACCTGCGCTTTGCTTCAAGATGACTCGGTGAAGTGCTTTGGTTGGGGCGTTCGCGGACAGCTTGGTTCAGGGTGGTTTACCCCGGTGGGTGATTCGTCAGGAGACATGGGCGCAAGTCTTCGCCCGATCGACCTTGGCGATGGCATGCTTGCCACTCAAGTGGCGGCAGGCCGAATGCATACTTGTGTTCTGCTGCAGAATCATGCTGTCAAGTGCTTTGGAGAGAACGAACATGGAGAGCTTGGTCAAGGACACCGCCAAAACATAGGCTGGTTTGTTGGACAGATGGGGGCAAACCTTCCATCCATTGATTTGGGTGATGGCATGTGGGCCAAACAGATCGCACCTGGTGACAAGTTTACCTGCGTGCTGCTTCAAGACAACTCAGTCAAGTGCTTTGGTCTAAATTCTGCGGGCCACCTTGGTCAAGGAAGTTTTGAAGGTCAAAACAGAAGCATCGGCGACGAGGTGGGCGAGATGGGCTCAAATCTTCCGGCAGTTGACCTTGGAATCGGCGTGTTGGCAACTCAAATTGCGACCGGCGGACATGCCTGCGCACTGCTTCAAGACAACTCTGTCAAGTGCTTTGGATCCAATTACTTTGGACAGCTTGGCCAAGGACACACTTTAGATATAGGTGATCATCCAGGAGAATTAGGTGCAAATCTTCCACCAATTGATTTGGGCACAGGAATGCGCGCCAAACAAATCGCAGTTGGTGCGCTGCACACCTGTGTCTTACTACAGGACAGTTCAGTCAAATGCTTCGGATATGGCGCATATGGACAGCTTGGCAAGGGAAATACCCAAAACATTGGTGATGAACCTGGAGAGATGGGAGACAACTTACCCGCCATTGATTTTGGAGAAGGAGAAGGAAGCTTGGCAGTAAGTATTGCGGCTGGAGGACACAACACATGTGTTCTATTTCAAGATGACTCGATGAAGTGCTTCGGGCTCAACAGTGAAGGAGAGGCCGGCATGGGACATGACCGGATGATTGGTGATGACAGCTGTGAAATGAGCAGTCTTGCCCCGGTGCAATTGGCTCCCCTCACTCCACGTCAGATTGATGAGTTGCGCTTGTCTGAAGGCGCTTTGCGGGGAAGGGTTGAAGTTTTGCATGCTGGCGTTTGGGGCACCATTTGTGATGATCGCTGGAGTGACGCAAACGCGCAGGTAGCTTGATTGCAGCAAGAGGAAGAACGCAGCAAAGTCACAGATTGGTACAGTACTAGATGGATTTATATGGATTAACGCTGATCTTGCTCTTACACCACTCAACCGTGGGATCTTCATCCACCAAAGTAATGGATACTAGTACGGGTGAGGGTCGAAAGCAGGCTCCGAAAAGGGTCAGTCTAGAATTCAGTCCAGTGGGAGGCCACAGCTCTTCAATACGAGGTTCTGTGCCGGGAGCTTGGCATGGCAGGAGGAGTTGCTCTTGAGCGCTTTGGAGGGGGCACTGGGCCAATTCTCATGGATGGTGTGAATTGTCAAGGTGGCGAAATTGGACTTGCTCAATGCGGTTTTCGGGGTTGGATGGTGCATGACTGTCATCATGGTGAAGATGCCGGGGTAGAATGCCAGTTGGATGCATGGACTCAGCTCTCTGGGTTGTCCGAATCAACTGGTCGGCAAGGACATTCAGCAGTATGGGATTCATTCAGCAGTTCAATGCTGATCTTTGCAGGGCAAGCCCCAAATCGCTTTGTCACCTACAATGATTTTTGGCAGTACGACTGGCCGCTCTTTTGCATTTTGAAGGTTTTGATTTCACTGCACTAAGAACCACACCAATAGTCTGTGCCAAACGACAGTCCCAACCACGATCTGACAAGATTTGTCTTTCGTAGGAAGCGAACAATGCCCACTAGATCCCACAACTGAATGTTAAGAAGTGCTCATGGTGACCAGCTTTGAAAGTATCAAATAACAGAGTTGGGGTACAGCGCAGATTCTTGATTCTTGATTCATTGACCAAGGCCGAAACGTTCTTGGTTCCAACTGGCTTCCGGACCAACCGCAAGGACTGGCCATTCGGCAGTGCTGGACTCTGAGTCCAGATCTATGCTTGTTTTCGGTGGTGAGTACCTCACCTGCAGTAGCGAAGTTCAATCTTTGATCATGTCCAGTAATTCTAACCGCTTTCCCACTCAACGTATCACTTTTGCCCACAGAGCAGGTGCTCTTGGGAGAGAATTGTTGCGCAAAGTACGAAGCAAAAACACGTGTTTTCAGTGAATTTTGCTTCAAACACCTCCAAGACCTAGGTTTGGGGTTGAATATCAAGAACCTGGTTTTGTTCAGACCAGGTCTCCAGGGATTTTGAGAATGTACAAATAGGCACAAAACCATAATGACTGACTAAACTTAAACACCAAATATCAGTTTCAAATATATATCAGTTTTGTACAAATGAGGCCACCATCGGCTTGGGATGTATATATATATTATGTTTATCTCAAACATGGTTCATTATGGTTTTTGCTGTCGTGTTTTTTGTTTCTGGATTTAGCACCTTTTTGTCGATGTAGCTTTCAAGCTCTCCATCAGCATATTGTTTTGAAGGTCCAGCGCAACAGAAACTGGGCGGAATACATGTGGGCCCGTACGCCGTGCTCAAGCAGTTGTTCGTTTCTTTTGCAATGTCTGTTTGTTGGATATTGGTAAGCTGTTGTTCCTTTTGTTCAGCTCTTTGACTGTTGGCACTACTGATTTGCAATATCATATTTGCATCTAAGTCTTCCTCTCCCTCAATATTCTTCCCTGCAAGCTGTTCCCCTTCTCAAATGCCTTTGCAATTGCTTCAATAATTTGCTTCTATATTTCTTGTTCAACTCTTTCTATAGTCTCAAATGTGTTTTGAAGTTGAGCACCAAACGGAAAACTGTGTCAATCTTTACAAGGGGGTTCTTGTTTAAGTTACTTTGATTTGGTGTGCTTTTTCTTTTTCTGAACGTTTGTTGTCTTGAAGCTCCAAACAACGGAGCACATTACTGAAGAAGGTAATGAGCTAGACCGAGTGCAAGAGTGTTGATTAACTTATATCCAGGCAACACGTTGTTTCTTTGGTTTCCTGTCTCAATAAGGGTTTCTAGTATTGCTTCCGATTGCTTCAGTAGGTTGTGAATGGCTTGCCTAGCTTTTTCTCCACTTTTAATTGCGTGTAACAGTAAATTAAGCACCAACAGGAAAGCTTCTTCAACCTTCACACGTTGAAATTTAGTCAAGGAAAGCTTAGCTCTTTCAAACAGGCTAAGAAGCTGGACCAGGTGCAATATTAATATTTGTTAACTTCTATCCAGGCACATGTGTTTGTTTTTTGGTCATAGTTCTTGCTCTCTTGGTTTGGACAAGATGCCAGCCAAACTCATAAAGCAATAACGTTTGCGCTATTTAGGATTGCTTTTGCCTATTATGCATCGAACTCTGCAATTAGCAAGTTTACTACTCAAACGGTTCTTTTTTAGGCCTGTTTGGGCTAGGAAGAGATTGCTGAAGGGATAGGACATACTTAAAGCGTATATGATATGGAAGAACAGAAACACAAAGTCACAAGATGTAATCCTATTGGCAATAGAAAAGTCTGTTTAGATCAGGGCGAAATTGCCAAGGGAAGAGTGTTGAAGCTGAAGTTTGCATATCTGACATAAATCACACAAAATGGGCACATGATGAGAGAACGCATCCTTTCAAGGTTCCCAGTCAAGCAGCTTTGACAAGTAGTGAGAACATGCGAATACACTTGCTCATTTGTATTACTGGGCAGAGAAAGATCCAAACGCGCTTTTCGCCTAGGTCTCATGTTAATTTGCATGGTATTTACAGTGTTTTTGAAGGGTTTGGGGATAGGGTGACTTGAACGTGTGACTTTTGCCGCCCAAGCGATTGGAGCTCTCGTCGACAGTGGATAATTGATTTGGATATGGAGAGGGGTCATATCATGTGTGCTGTCATTGTGGAGATGGAGAACAGAGAGAACAGTGGTTTGCAGATGTCGAAGTCACGAGGAGGTATGTTGCGGAGCTGAATGAACTTAAACGCATGATCTCGCGATGATACTGCAGTAGGACTGAAGGCAATTTTGTGGAGTGGATGACGCTTTGTTACCGGAGATTATGAAGATAAAGTTTTTGCGTTTTCTGAGGGGTGCTACCAGCGCCAATAGCAGAAGTATGCGCTGCAAAAGTAAGGTACCTGGAACAACACCTCGATGAGCTTTGGATGTACTCCTTGGAAATGGACTCATGGAACCTGCTGGCTTCAGGAAGCCTGGAAGGGCGTTCAATGCATTCGGCGGTTTGGGATCAGAAGAAGAGGGCCATGATCATTTTCGCTGGCCAAGGTGCATGCGCGAAATAAGTCTGGCAAGAATGGTGTAAGTTGTTTATATTCAAGAAAGCTCACGAAACAAGCTTGATTTCCACGAACCCCAAAAAGGTCCGGCCATAGTTTTGATTGAGATTTGCTCAAGCCTCAGACAGATTGAAAGTTGATCGCAGTTGCTCAGGTGCCTCGCTCTTGGGAGATTTGTGGCGCTACGGCCTAAATGCAAGCACCTGGGTTGAGCTCATCCCCCAAGGTCCCTTCCCACCTGCACGAAGTGATCATGCAGCCGTTTGGGATGAAACAAGCTACTCGATGTTCATTCTTGGCGGATGGGGTGGAAGCCTAGAGTTTCTGAATGACCTTTGGATCTACCGTTGGGAAGCTGACATTTGGATGCAGCTGTCACCCTACACGTCCGGGCCTACAACTCGGCGTGGTCATGTGGCCGTTTGGGACCCCGTGTCGAAATCCATCCTTCTCCATGCAGGCGCGGCCACATTTGAGGCGACATCGAATTCATCAGAGACCAGCTCACATGGTGCTACCAGTTATTATTCTTCGGAACTCTGGAATTACAGTACTTTGTCCAATGTTTGGACACAGATGGCCCTTGATTCTGTTTCTGGTACTCCAAGTGGGCGGATGGACCACGCTGCCGCTTCTTGGTTGGCAACATTGTCAGACGAACTTTTTGGGGCTCTTCGATTTCGAAGAGGTCAAGGGGTCTATATGTCCCTTGTGGGAAAAAACTTACTTTACTTCGAGTGATCCCCACCATGACATTTCAATCCTTTGTTTTGATGCCATAGTGAGGAGGTTCTCGATCTTGCTTGTGGGTCCTCGGGTTGTGGTTGTGGTTGTGTGCTGTGTTGTGGTTGTGGTTGTGGTTGTGATTGTGTGTTTGTGGCTGTGTGTTTGTGATTGTGTGTTTGTGGATGTGTTTGCGGTTGTGCTTGTGGCTGTGTGTTTGTGATTGTGGGTATGTGCTTGTGGTTGTGCGCTTGTGGTTGTGTTTGTGGTTGTGTGTTTGTGGTTGTGTGTTTGTGGTTGTGTTTTTGTGGTTGTATGTTTGTGGCTGTGTGTTTGTGGTTGTATTTTGTGGTTGTGTGTTTGTGGTTGTGTGCTGTGGTTGAGGTCCGGCAGGGAACACTGGGCGCGGATGGTCGCGGTTGAGGTCCGGTGGGGAACACTTGGGTCTGGAGCTCGCGGTTGAAGTCCGGCAGGGAACACTGGGCGCGGATGGTCGTGGTTGAGGTCTGGTGGGGGACACTTGGGTCTGGAGCTCGCGGTTGGGGTCCGGCAGCGAAAACTGGGCGCGGATGGTCGTGGTTGAGGTCCGGCAGGCAACACTTGGGTCTGGAGCTCGCGGTTGGGGTCCGGCAGGGAACACTGGGCGCGGGTGGTCGTGGTTGAGGTCCGGCAGGCAACACTTGGGTCTGGAGCTCGCGGTTGGGGTCCGGCAGGGAACACTGGGCGCGGATGGTCGTGGTTGAGGTCCGGCAGGCAACACTTGGGTCTGGAGCTCGCGGTTGAGGTCCGGCAGGGAACACTGGGCGTGGATGGTCGCGGTTGAGGTCCGGCGGAGGAGGAGGACGACGAGGAGGAGGCGGCGGAGGAGATGGGGTTGACGTAAAACTTAACAACCCTCACCTGACAGGTGGGGAATTATATGTCTCTAAGTCTCTAACCTCAACACCCGTACCTGGCAAGCAAAAGTGGAACTCAGTTGTGTGGTCCAACACGTCGCATCGCGGCCCCCGAAGCTATTCGTGATGTTGACTCGTTGATGTTGAGCTTTTCTTAGAGGCCCTTCCCGTTTTCCACTAATCATTGTAAAAATACAGTATATATAACTATATATAGATAGAGGCTTTCAGCGTTTTTCTCGTTGACAAGTCGACGTCACTTGTGTCCTCCCACCTTCGTATGTGTATATACACCCTGGCGGTGGCAAGAGGTTTCCAGAGCAATGTGTTCCAACAACTGGTCCTTGTATCTACCCAAGCGATGCTGGCTGGATTGTCGAAACAGTGTCACTTGCCACGTTGACATGAGTTTCTGCACGACGGTTTGCGTGAAGGTTTGGGACCCAACCTCGCGTGGGATGCTCGTCCTTGGTGGCTTCAATGTTTCGTACCTGTTTGACCTTTGGAGATATGTGGCACTGCCTACCAACGCCATCCACACCGCTGAATGTGACCAAGGCAAGCACATGTCCGATATTTATGAATATTTGTTGTTTCATGTTGTGTCATGGAACACAACAGCGTCAAGCACGCATCAGGGACGTAGTTGGTTCCCTTTTTGACTGCGCATCCACATGGCAGGACAGATCTGTACCGTGGAAATGCGGGAGTTTGTGCCCGAAACATTTAGAGGACAGATCAGTCTCTCGGAGGAATGCGGATCCAAGATGAGTGGCGGATACAATTTCACATTTGACAACAAATCCTTTCTCGAATCTCTGCCAGGCACATATCGTGTTTGCTGGTGTCGCCCAGATCCCGCAGCCCAGGTGGCGTGCGAGGAAGCCAAGGATTTCGCAATTCCTGTCGGTTTTTTCCGTGTTGTCGGGCCTTACGTTATTGGATTTGAATGTACGCTTGGTGATCCATGCATTGTGGGATTAGAGGGGGTAGGGCTCGCTGTCACGGACACTCTTCTGCCAACGATCACTTGTGGTGTCATTGCGTGGACGGTCACTTTCGGAGTGGTGCAGCCTGTGGCTGCCACATTGAATGAGTCAACTGGCAAGGTCCTGTTTGATTTTGGTTCACCAAACTTGGAGACTGTTCCTGAAGAGATCCAGTTGTGCTGGTGTTCTGCAGCGTCTGCGTGCGAGGTGGACGACTATCGTTCGCTGGCCGTCCAGTTACGAACAGTTTGCCCTCCAGGAACATATTCCAGCAACACTCCCTGTGCAGTTTGCCCAGCAGGTTTTTACTGTCCTGGAGGAGAATTGCCTGAGAGACTGCCCTGCCCTACAGGAAGCACTTCACTGCAAGGTGCAACTTCCATCCTAGAATGCACCTGCCTCGCCAACTATTTTTGGAGCGCAGTGCTCAGTTCTTGTTTAAAGTGCTCTCCAGGCCTAGGTTTTCTGCCCGATGAAGCCACCTGTGTGCCTTGCAGCAAGGGGACCTATTCTCCTGGTGGATTGGCAGCTTGCGAGCCTTGCCCTGCAGGTCGATACTCAGACACTGAGCAGACTCCTTCAGCTTCCTTGGCTTTGCAAGGTTCATTTGCTTTTCAAGTTGTTGTCCTTTCTCTGCATGGTTTGGTGCGGGAAGACTAGTGAGTAAACAAACAGTAAAATTCAGAGGCACGGAATCCTTTGAGGAATGAAGGTCAATAGGAATAGAAATAGTATTTATTTTTATTATGTATTACTACCTTTACTATTTTTGTTATTGGTTATTAGTAATAGTACTAGTGGCAGTAGCAGTAGTAGGGTAGTGATGAATTGGGTTGATCCCTTTTGTTTTGTTATAACGAGGGAAAGAAATGGGCGCTGAAGCCTATGAATCCCGAATAGGTCCCTTCAGCAACAGGCAAAAATATCTAAAAATGAGAAAAATCCTACCGACCTGACATCATTCTTGCTTCTTGCGAGCTTAAGCCGCAGGTTCAAGGCTGCAAAGCCTGTGCAATCGGGCAATGGAGCAATGTGACTGGAGCAGTTGATCAAGCGAGCTGTAGAAGTTGCGACGCAGGCTCAACCACTGATACGCCAGGCGAGGGGCCAACCCGACTTGCAGAAAGCTGGTGAATCTCGCAAGACTCCCCAAATTCATCTACGTAACTATTCCCACAGACAAACACTCCAGGTCCTCGTGGTTTCTCATACTCACACATTTGCATAAGCCATCAGGAGCTGACCGTCCTAGCTTGTGCGTCAGACCGCGTGACAACCACGTTCGAGAATGCGTGTCTGGCAGGCAGGGAACGGTGATTTGATGATCTGCGAATGAATGTTTGCATCAAGTAAAAGTAATTTGTACACCTCTCCATGGCATTTGTCTTCAACTATATAGCTAGTTTTGACAGCGCTCAATTTGCTAGCTGCAAACCACAGGCCTTGCATTGTTGACTACATAGCTGGCTTCAGCTTGAGGGATGGACATGCGCTGGGGCTGACGAATTCTTCTTGCAGCAGTGCCTTGGACCAACATCGCTTCGCTCGGCGGGGTCGGTCGCGCCACGCCACCGCACTCCGTCTGAAGCAAGTTCGGCCGGTTCGGCCGCCAAAAATTTTTCGCTAGGCCCGCTGTGATGACGATGATGATGATGATGATGATGCTGCTAGATTCTCCATTTTGAGCCCTGCCAAGAGGATGTTGCCCTTTGTGAAAGACCTTTGAAGTAAGGCAGGGTGTTGGCTTACTATCATACCCGGTAATCAATCTGACAGCGGCCGAAGTTTAGTGATTGGTGCTTACCAATAGCCTATAGGGCATTATGGGGTTATGTTTCAACGCTTGAATCAAACTCCAAGGGCCTGATGGGTGGCGATACCGTGATACCTTGCGACGTGGTGATGTGGTTTTGAAGTGCTGTATGATGGTGTTGCTCGCGGCGTGTCTTGCGATGCTTTGCAATGTGTTGGGTGTTGCTGCGTCGTAGTTGAGTCATGATTTGGGACCTACTAGTAGGATGGGATGACGTGGTGCGTGCCAATGAGTGTGACGCATAGTCACTGTGAGGGTTTGTTGTGGTGAAGTATAGTGATATAATAAATATAGTAATATATATATATGTACACGTGATGTGGTGAGGTGCTGCGTGGCGAAGTTTTGTCGGTGATGTGGAAACTGTTACTTTCCGTCTAGAATCTAGAATCGCTACTTTCCTTTACTTTTTCTCTTGAAACCTCTCACACTCTAGATTTGTATGGTCTGGAAATTTGTGTAAGTTTTCTGACATTCTCTAGACTTGTTTTAAACTCGAAACCTATGACTCTCCAGCATGCCATTTTCTGCGGACGAACGAGCGATCTTCCACACAAGTTCCCTGTTCCCTTCAAAAACACAAGACTTTGCGAGTTTGGATTTTGCGATTCTATTGTGTCCATGACTGGGAAGCTTCTCCAGCAAATTCCCTTGAATGATTGATTTATGACTCATGTTCATTCATGTTGAGACGTTTAAGGTTCCAAGCTTGTCATCGAACACGTGGCGAGGAATGGCATCAGCGCACCTGCTGAGAGAAACGGCAGTAGGTACGAATGGGGAAAGAACAAAGAGGCATTTAGTCCTTTTGGCGGTTTGTACAACATGTGTTGGTGCGCCAATATGCACGACCTCAGATGTGATGAAATTCAGTTGAACTTCTTGCTATCAGCTGGACAGCTTATGGTTGCCGGGCCTGCTGGGCCTTCACAAAATTCCTTCGAATGCGTCCGCGGTCAAGAATGTATCCTTAGACCCTTTAGAGGCTCGGGTCTGCTGGAGAGCGATAGTGTGATGCTTCGATCCGAAGGATGCCAGAGTAGTCAGGAACTCTTGCCAGCGATCAGGTTGACCAAAGTGAATGACCCTGCTGAGTTCTCAGTGGCTCTTGAAGTCTTTGATGATGTGCGAAGCTCTTGGTACTTTGCCATGGATGCAGAGAGTTCGGGCTACTTCCTTTGTTGGTGCGCAAGCGCCCGCGAGATTGATGACGCGTGTCAGAACTCTGTGGATTATTCTGTGTGGGCTGGCAGCTTGCGAGTACTCGGTCCCAGAGTGAACCAAGAGAAGTCTTGTTTCATTGGACAAGCCTGTGTTTTGCAGGAGATTCAGGGTGTAGACATGAAGCTGGGCGACTTGATCATGATTTTGTCCAGTTGTGGCTCAGGGTCTCCTGTCACAGGGGTCCCGAACGGAGGCATTGCAGAAGGAACAGAGTCTTGGTGGAACAGTGTTCGACTAGCCCGTCCTTCCTATGCAGTTTGCTTGCACATGGCTATTGGATTCTGATAAAGACAACTAAGTGGGAGCCAACGTGGTAGAAAGAGGCCCCCCCAGCAATCATTGAGGGAGTCTGAATAGAATCCCTACCGCCAA